AATAGTTTTATATTAAAAGAGAAATACAGTTTTCATACAGCAAATCTATACAATATCATTGTTTTATTTAATGTAAAGAAGCGCTCTTCTTCCTACAGTTATTTTTCCCATCCCTCCCTGCTATGGTTGCACTACAAGTAGCTACTGTGTATTATTGGCAGTGAGAAACGAGTTCTTTTCCTGGTGTCCATCTTATTTTTTATTTCAAATAAGGAAAAGTGTTGGATTCTGTGTAAATACATCAGTGATGGCATTTTTCAATGTTTTAAAGCTGTGTACAGTGCTACATGTGGTATGACGTTCCTCAAATTGTCTATTGTAGCAGATCCTTTGTCGTAACCTGTCTGTCTCTTTTGTTTCTCTGCCACCTCCCCGCAGCAGAACAGCTAGTTCCACTGTACATAGTAATTGTAACGTTTTAGACTTTACAGAAACTTTCCTGTATTCTGTATATAAAAAAAAAAATACTTCACATTCTGTTTTCTTGATTGTCTGTCTTCACTCGTGTCACCACAACCTGGAGCTTCCCCAGAGTGTCTGACTGCAGAGGAGCCTGAGCTGGGAGTCAAGGCTGGGGTGGGATGGAAGGACCCTGGTGTCCTGCCTGGGATGTGGGAGGATGCTGGTGGGAAGAAGGTGAGGACTGGAAGATGATTGAATCAGGGAATTGGTTGAGGTAGGAAGGACTCCTGAAGGTCATCAAGTCCAACCCCTGCAATGAGCTGGGATATCTTCAACTCAATGTGGCCCAGCCTCACCTCGAATGTTTCCAGGGATGGGACACATCCAGTTCCGATCTCCTCAGGGCGGGAGAGACATAGCCTGAAAGTGTCCTGGAAGATGAGGGACAGGTGCACGTCATTTATGAGGGAAAGCTGAGGGAGCTGGGACTGTTTAGCCTGCAGAAGAACAGACTGAGTAGACCTTATTCTCAAATACATTGATGTGAAGGGGGTGTTTGAGCCGATGGGATGGAGCCAGGCTCTTCTCTGGGGTGCTGATTGAGAGGCAAGGGCAGAAACAGGAGCAAGGGAAAAGCTACACCTGAATATGAGGAAGAACTTCTTTACCATGCACTGGAACAGGCCATCCATAGGCCAGATTGCCTATCCCTGGAGATAATTCAGCTATCCTGGCACAGTTCTCATGCTCTAGGGGACGCTGCTTTAGTAGGGGGGGCTGGGCTAGATGACCTCCGATAGTTCCTTCCCACCGCAACCAGCCCGAGATTCTGTGATCTCCTACTCCTCGCCAGGACCGGGGGAATTGATCGGGGGGCAGCGCTGGCCCGCACTCACCCCACTCTCTATCTCTCCTCCCACCAGCGCCACGAATCCAGCTCTCCCGTGGCCTGGAGCCGCGCAGACCTTGCCCCGTTTTCCGTCCCGCCGGGCCGGGGAGGCGGGAGCGGGGCGGAAGCGGGGCGGGCCCGGCCCGGGGCTGCCCGGATCGGCGGAGGGATGGCGTGGGCGCTGCTGGGCGTGGGGCTGCTGCTGGCGCTCTACACGCTGCTCCGCTACGGGCTGCGCAGCGCCCCGCGGCCCCGCGGCCGCCCCGAGCTGCGGGGCCGCACCGCCATCGTCACCGGTGAGCGCCGTCAGCGAGCGGCAGGGAGCCGTGACCGGCCCCGCTGCGGCCTTTGGCCCCGCTCACCCCCGCGCTCCTCTCCGCAGGGGGAAGCAGCGGCATCGGCGCGGCCACGGCTCTGGAGCTCGCCCGGTGCGGGGCCCGCGTTATCCTGGCGACCCGCAGCGCCCGGCGGGGAGAGGCCGCCGCCAGCCGCATCCGCAGGGTGAGCGCCGGAGCCGGCACCCCCAGGGAACCCTCGGCATTCCCACCCACGGGACGTCCCCAAACCCTATGGCAACCCCATGGCACCCAATGGGCAGCTCCAGCACACTCTCGGGATACCCCCAATGAACCCCCGTGGGGCATCCTTGGATATCGCATGAACACCCCCAGATGTCTCCACGGGCACCCTGAGGACACTGCCATGGCATCCCGTCAGCAGCCCAGGGATCCCATAAGATACCCCCAGGACATCCCTGGGCACCCCCAGGACACCATCCAAGACACGCAACAGGACATCTTGAAGCATCACATGATTAACCCCCAAAACACCCTCATGGGTACATCCAGGTACCACATGGCAAACCCCAGGAACAACATCTCAGACAACCCAAATAGGCTATCCCCAGGCACCCCGAGACACTCCAAGGTGGGGCACACTGTACCAGCGGGGTGGCTGCAGCCTCCCGTGCTGGGGTGTCCCAGCACACCGTAGCCCTTGGGCCAGATCCAGTCCCCAGAACATCCCCCTGCTCCTGGCTTGCTCCAGCCCCCACCCAAGGCAGGGCACACCCCCGGCCCAGCCCCCTGAACCAGCCCCAGTCCCCGCTGTGCCCACAGGAGACGGGGAACAATGAGGTGCTGTTCATGCATCTGGACCTGGCCAGCCTGCGCTCAGTGAGAGCCTTTGCCAGCACCTTCCTGCGCCAGGAGCCCCAGCTCCACCTCCTCATCAACAACGCAGGTGAGTGCTGGGACCCCAAATCCCCTCTGCGCCCAGGGGCACCACCACAAGCTGTCATTTTCTCCTCACTCCTCAGGGGTGAGCGCCGGGGGCACGACAGAGGATGGCTTCAGCCTCCCCTTCCAGGTGAACCACCTGGGCCATTTCCTGCTGACCCAGCTGCTGCTGGAGCGGCTGCGGAGCTGCGCTCCCAGCCGGGTGGTCATCGTGGCCTCTAGTGCCCACTGCGCCGGCCGCCTGCGTCCTGAGTCCCTGGGCAGGCCGCCCTCGGGGCTGTTCTCCACCTTCCAGGACTACTGTGACAGCAAACTGGCCAACGTGCTGCACGCCCGCGAGCTGGCCACGCGCGAGCAGGGCACACAGGTCACCTGCTACGCCGTGCACCCAGGTAGGAGCCAGTCAATGGTGTCTGTGATCTGCACACCTCTGTGTCCTGTGGTGTCCCTCTGTGAGGGGTGGTCTCTTGCTTTGCAGCCTTTTCACAGGGAATTCCTGCATGGGGAGCATCTCTCCCTTGCCCAGTACGGCCCTTTGCATGTGTCTCTTTATATGGTGTGTCCCTTTACAGTGTCACTTTTCATTGTGTGTCCTCTATCTTGGCAAGTCCCTTTGCACCTTGTCCCCTCGCACTGTGTTCCTTGATACAGTGTGTTCCTTTTAGTGTTCTTTTGCATAACATATCTCTTTATACAGTGTGTCCCTTTTCACGTGTCCCTTTGCATGGCATCTCCCTTTGCACCTGCATGGGGCTCACCCACACACCTCACAAGCCTTGCGCAGCCAAAATGTGGCAATGCCTGGGGACAATCACAGCCGTGCTGCCCATGCCAAGGCCACCCTGGCCATCTCCCAGTACCCATCCATTGGGACGCACAGGGGGACACTCCACAGGGACACCTGACGTGTGCCAATCTCCCACAGGGTTTGTCAACACTTCGCTGTTCCGGCACGCGCCGCTGTGGCTGAAGCCGCTGCTGCTGCCGCTGGCCTGGCTCCTGTTCCTGGACGTGTCTGAGGGCGCACAGGTGGTGCTGGACTGTGCCACGCAGGACGGCCTCGAGCCCTTCAGCGGCCGCTACTTCACCGACTGCGGCCCTCAGCTGCCGTGGGCAGCGGGGCGCGATGACCGCCTGGCGTGGGCACTCTGGGAGGGCAGCGAGCGCCTGGTGGGGCTGGGGGCAGAGCAGGGACAGCAGCAGGGACATCAGGAAGGACATCAGGAGGGCCCCACTGCTCCCACAGCACAATAAAGGTGGTGACAAGGGATTCCGGGAGTTCCCAGTTGTTGGTTGGTCGATTGGTTGGCTTTGGAGCCAAAAATGTGTGTGGGTGTGGAATGGGGGTGAGCGAGGGGAAGCGGCCCTTGCACACCCACCATGCCCTGCACGTGCAGCAGAGCTGGGAGGGTGACAGTGAATGAGTGTGCAAGGGGATGTGGGTGTGCACAGTGTGGGTGTGCAGAGCAGCACACCTGGCTCTGCCCACACACTGCAGGACACAAGTCCTGCCTCGTACACCCATGCAGTGCCACACACATCCCTTGCACACCCGTGCAGTGTCACACAGACACACAGACACACAGACACACACACACACACACACAGACACAGACACAGACACACACACACAGTGC